CAAATCTAATCCTCTAAATCTATTCATCACCTTCACTGTGTACTCACAAGGAATATAATGTTAATGAATATTGTAGCTCTAAATATTGCCATTGGGTTACATCTGGTAGTGTCAGGTTCAGCCCAAGAACAACGAGGCAATCCAGTACAGTTCAGTTCCTTTATTAGCTCGCACATAATAGACTGAATCTCGCCAGACTAAACCTATGCTAAAGCAAGTAGTGGTTATACCCCGTGAGACTCTAGGGAGGGGCCAGCCTCATCCTCTTCGTCTTCCCACACTCTTGTTGCGGGCTGAAGAGGTGCTTGTTCTGGAATGCCTTTCCACCCTCCTGACAACCTTGAACTTCCATTCCAGAATCTTCCCTGCTCATGCCATCATTACAGGTAGATGATACTTATCTTTTAACACAGCATGTGTTAAAAATTCATCATCTGTCAATTGATCCAAACTCAATATCCCTGCTTCCATCCAATTTTTCCATATCACCATCTTTTTCCCAATTTCTAAAGTTTTTAATGTTTTAAAGCAAAGTTTTAAAAAATGGATTGCAGTATAGAACATAATCTTAGCCATCAAAATCTTTTCTACCCTAGTGCTTAAAATCAAATGTACACTGGAGAAATGTAAAAGCAAAGTAGAAGGCAGGAACTATTCTAGATTTTTCTTAGACATATGCAAAATGTTTCACATCTGAAACATAGCACTAAATCACCTATTCTGACCACACCAAAAATGTTCCAACACTGTTTGAATCTCACTGGAAGTGTTCTGATCTGCTGGAAGTCAGAATGCTTCAGGTGAAATTGGAACGGCCCATCTTGATCTCAAAACAAGGTATTTTGAGCTCAAAACATTTTAAACTTGAAATATTATGGATGCTCTCTCCTAGGAACTTGCGTGAAGAGAGTGCTTCCATCCACCAGTTGACTTCTAAGCAAACTGAAGATTGATTACAACTTACCAGGCCTATGAAAATAATTCAAAAGAGGTGTTTCACAACAGTGTTAGTGTGGAGCAAAGAATCTCCTTCAGGTGTTAAAGTAGCTATGGTTTTCCTCACCTATCTGCACTTCTGTGTGAACAGAGGTTGCAATGGAAGTAGTTCTTGTGGGAGTTATACCAGTGATTGTCCATGCCTGCACAGAAAACCAGGGAAAGCCTCTGAAAGAATTATGCAAGTTTTCTAAAGGACATGGTTATTTTAATGCTCGAAGGAGAGTTAGACTTCCTTCTAATGCTTTATGCAATCATAATGAATACTTTTTATAAAAGGCATTCGACACTGTATTCATATAAAACCTTATTAAGTATAGTAGTTGGTTATGTTTGCAGCTTGCTTAAATTTGTTACATTAAAGTATTTAATGCTCTATCTCTCTTTGTTTGTTTCTAGGAAATTCCACTTACTTAGATGATCATGGGCCACCCCCTCGTAAGGTGAGATGCTTTGTACATTACGTTACATTCAGTCAAGTTCTGTTCCTGCTATTCCATTCTCTTGCTACTGTAGTTTACAAATGATATATCATGGTAAGTAATGGCCTTGTTTCTTTCCCATCAGAAAGGCAGAGCATAAACAATTGTTCTAGCATGGCACTGGGAGTAAAATCGGAGTTGGGAGTTTTCACATTAACAAATATATTTGGAAAATTGCAAACAATTTTGAAAATTGGCTTTGGGGTTGCCATAATCCCTTGCCTTTCTATTTTTACTTTTTAGAATTTATCAAGAATGGGGGAAGAATAGGAGAGATTTCCCATAAATGGGGGATTTAAGCTTAATTAACTTCCCCACTTTTGGTATTCCCTCCCAGAATGAACAACTGAACTAGTTGTATTTATGATTACTTTCAGGTTTGTATTCCTCTTGACTTTTAATAGTTTTTGATTTGAAACAGGCATTCTACTTTGTTCAGCACGCCCCATTGTGGCGCCTTCCAAAAGCTTTGGACTGCGGCTCTCTTCTTTCTTGTTTGTTGGCCTTCCTGATTGGTGATGATTGCAATTTTAGTCCATATGAATCACATTATCTTGACTTTAATTATATTATTTAATTCTATCTTTTTTTTTTTTTGGCATTATGATACTGGAGATCCTTGTTAGGACAAAAATGCAATCCTTGTTAGGACAAAAATGCAATATAAAAATATATGCATAGGGTTATTTTCATACAATGGCAAGTAGTTTAAAAATATTTTGAGTGTAGTTAAATCAATTGTGTTTTATGCCAGCCTTAGTGTTATCTATAAGCATTAAGATTTCTGCTTTATTTTTAAAGGATTGATGATGTATACACCAAGAAGTATTTTGAATAACTGTATTATTTGTCTGTCCTTAAAGTACTTATTAATTTGAAAAGATACCGTTTATTTTCTATTTAATAAGTGCTGTGACATCATTGCAATAAAAATGGGACAGATGTGGCTATTCAGTTTTAACTAGCACAATTATTCATGTCTGCTCTAGTGCTCAGAGTTTGTTTGTGCCAATAGAGGAAATGTCATAAATCAAAGAACAATAATTAGAAATCTTACATGAGTTCTAAATAATAATAACATATAAAAGTTTCCACTGTTAGTCTCATTTTATATTCTTTTTCTCAGTTTGTAGCAGTGTAAAAATTGAGTTAAGTCTCCCTTTAGACTGTCTCAGCTCTAGGTAACTACACAACTATGTAGTTTTCTTGGCACCAATAAGGAAGTGGTTGGGGATTTTGGAGACTGGTGGAAACCAAGGAAACGTGAACCTTTCTGATCTCAGAATTAACCTGTTAGTACTAAAACCTGGTTATTCAAAATATCTGGTGAGGCGATTACCCTGTGATTTTTATTATTTTTAAAATTTTGGAGAACTATATCCAGAAAGTCAAGATAAGAATGTGTTAATAAATGAAGAATAAACTAGCAGATCCGTTAAAGAAATTTGGCTTCTTGCTACCATTTTCCTTAATTGTGTTTACCTTCCTCATTTTTTCCATTTAATTACAACTCACATTACAGTCCTGATCATATATTTTCTTCTATTTTATTTTATGAATGGTTGTCCTTTATTTTCTCTCTGCTGATTTCATAAGTTTTGATTATATCTATACACAGTATGGGTATATGTATCTTCAGAAATAGGTGCTATAAAGAGGCTATGCTACCTAGAGTCAGTATCCAGATCTTACTCTTTCTGGGTACATATGCATTAGCCATTGGAATATAGAAGTAAATGCAGATTACATGCAATATTGATTTTTTTAAAAATAAGAAATAATGGAATTTT